CAAAGCCCCAGCCTAGAGCCCCCACCTCACCACCGCCCGCCAGCAAGCCCCCGCCCCACGCCTCCCGTCACCAAGCCCCTGCCCCGAGCCAACCAATTGTCACTGCTATAATTTAGCAATGATGCAATCCTTTTCACTGGATACTTTTATAAAATGCTTAAACATGATTGTCACTTCTATACTGCAATCCTTTTTTCCTGAAAAAAGGCACAACTAAATGACAATTACACACAACGAGCCAACCAATTGAAATAGACCACATACGAAATAAGCATAGGAAATTAACCCACGACCGAAGAATAGGCGCGGCAAAGCGCTATGCTCTAGTTCTGTATTATTTCCAATCAACAATATGTCATCCACATATAATATTAGAAATGCTACAGAGCTCCCACTCACTTTCTTGTAAATACAGCCTTCTCCAAAAGTCTGTATAAAACCATATGCTTTGATCACACTATCAAAGCGTATATTCCAACTCCGAGAGGCTTGCACCAGTCCATAAATGGATCACTGGAGCTTGCACACTTTGTTAGCACCTTTAGGATCGACAAAACCTTCTGGTTGCATCATGTGAGTATTTTCTCCCTCTTCTTCGTCGTGGCGTCGTCGAGCTTCGCATTGGCGGCATAGAGGACAGGTCCAGGTGTGCTTATGGAGGTGGATCTGTGGATGTTGGAGAAGATTCATCGGAGATGGTGTTCTGTCCAATGTGCTATCCTTCGTGGCCGAGGTTGGTAGACTTCCCGATCGTCTTGGCTGTCTTTGAAAGGATGTTTGCTCTGGCGACGGAGTGACAACGATGACAGCGCCTGCACCCCGCTCCGGCGAGAGTGTTCTTCGTTGTGTGGTCTGAGGACGTACTTGTAATTTTATTTACTATTGGGGTCCTTTGTACTATGGATGAATCTTCAGTATAATCCCGAGGTCTTTTCACAATTTTCTTATAAAATTATGGGTTTGCTTTAGGATTTTTTGGGCAAAAACCCTTGACTTTACACAAATTCACACTAGCCAAGCTCCAAGTGCCCCAACTCATTCATGGGTAAGCTACCCCTTTCCCTACCATTCCTCCAATTCCCGAGTCTTTCTTCGAACATGGCAAAATTTTGATGTGACCTCTATTATAATCCGGCTATGTCACCCTATTGAACTTGCTTTTAGAGCCTGATGCAAAGATTTAAAGGCTTTTCCCATCATTACAATGCATCATGGTGCATGGATTCCATTTAGTTTGTTTCTTCGGGCTTGTTTAGTTAGATGGGATCAACCAGGACTTTGGTTTCATCCATTTGGATGAGTGGATCAGACCTCTCGCACCATTCTCATAGAAAAGATTTTTCACATTTGGAGGAGGCTGGGGTGGGGAAGCTTTCGACCTAACTATAGTCGATCAATGCAGCTTCAACATATGGAATGGTTCTTGCTAAGGCGTTTCATCCCGGTTGAGTCGACTCTTCTTCGTCAATTCTCCGACTAATGGTGGTCTCACGTCCTTCAACGACCAGTTGAGGCAGGCATCTCCTTTTCCCGTGATGTTCCCGTCGCTTACTCTGCTCCAGAGCGAGCATCCGATGCCCATCCTCTCTTCATGCAGTTTTTTCTTGAGAAAACTCTCTCCATGTCTCTCCCTAATAATAAAGTACGGATTGAGTCTCCGGGTTCACCGTTGCGGGGTTCACCGTCGCGGCGTTTTTATAAAAAAAAAGTCCCTTTGCTTTTCAAAAATAGAACCCGCAGTCCAAAAATAAGTGAGAAAAATGATTCGATTGTGCCTTCTGGTTGCCCGGCTGTTTCAGTCCCCTATCGACTAAGTAGAACGAAAAGGAAAAAAAAGTCTGATCCGACCTGATCGGACCAGCAGCGCTGGTGACGGCCATGGGCGCCGGTGGCCGGATCGGACCAGCAGCGCTGGTGATGGCCATGGGCGCCGGTGGCCGGAGGGGAGGTACAAGGAGAAATGGCGCAAGAGGGAGATATGGAATGAAGGGAAGGGCTGCCCTGGCGGCGGCGGGTGCGCGCGTGTGGGATCGAGGCAGCAGCCCTCACCGGTGAGACCGCGGCCATGGCGCCAGTGGCCCAGCGGTTGGCGGCGGCGGGGTGCGCGCGCGCGTGGGAAGTGGGGTTCGAGCAGGTGCTCATCCCCTCTCGCTAGGTTAGCGGTTAGCGGGGAGAACTGGGCCTGTCCTTGGGACCGGCTACTGTTGCTGCTGCGCTCATTGGGCCGACCCACTGCGACTTTTTTTAGAGAATACCTTAGATGCAAAACGCTTGTGTTTGGACCAAGTCAAAATAATGCCAAAAAATACATTTCAATATTTAAAATTTTTATATAAATGTTCAATAAATCATAAAATGCTTATGGATTCAAAAATGTTTGTAATTTTTTAAATTGTTAGAGTATTCAAAAAATGTTCGCATATTTTGAAAACAAATGTTTGGGAAAAATATTCATTATTTTAAAAAAATCATGTATTAAAAAATATTAATGAAATTGAACAAAATGTTCGGCAAAATGTTATCGGTGATGCAAAAAAGAAGAAGTTGTCATGGTCATTGGAGATTATGAATTTTTTTCTCCCGTTGCAACGTTAGATATATTGCTTACCTAATCTAGGGAATGGTTGTATTTAATTATTCATGATTCAAAATGTTATATATTTTGTTCATGTAAATGCTTATTTTGCATTCTGCTCTAAAGCTTAGGAAATGGTTGGCAATAGTTTTTGTGTCTAGGGTTCTTCTCCTTAGATTTTGATTGATATGTAAGGGCATACAGATGCATCAACTATTTAGATGTTTTTTTTTGAGATTCTGAACTTCAGGGGTGGGGTGTCTTTAGCCATGCTTATTGGATAAGGTTAGGACCATGGGCTATTTTTTAAAACTCCCGCTGCAACGCACGCGCATGTTTGCTATGCTATAAAAAACACTAATCTGCTTAACCTTATTATCGATGTTTATTAAAATTGGATATATAAAATGGTGCATAATGGAAAATGAAGCCGGTTGTGTCCCTTTTTTGCCCGGTGCAACGCACGGGCATTTGTGCTAGTAGTAATAATATTGATCAGTATTCTAGTGTTATATTAACAGAAATCCTATCTAGCAATCGTTCGCTGGGAGAGGGGTGACAAACGAACTTTTTTTATGGCAGTTTTAGTTCTGAGAAGAGATCAAATGGTGGCAGTTTAAAAAAATTTGTCTTCTCTAACAAAAACTGCCACGTCGCTCTAAAGACTGTCACCCCTCACAAACTAAAAATGACAGTGAAATCATTCGCAAGTGAACATTCGCTAGCTAAGGGCCAGATTAAAATTTCGCCTTTGGCCTCCAAAATCTCCGGACCGGTTTGTATCTCGTATGGCGCCCCAGGCCCGGACGTCATGGAAATTGGCCATTTTGTGATGAAATTTTGAATTAGATTCATTTTATGCCAAAGTTTTAGAAAAGTGCCAGGTTTATCAATTTTCGCGGGTAGGGAAAGCAGCCCAGGAGGAAAAGAAGATAAACACGCGCGAAAGCCCGAAACCGCGAGACGGTTGCAACCTCCACGACGCCACCGCGTGCGTCACGAGGCTCTCCCTCGCGGCCGCGTCCACGAATATTCTGGACTCCTCCAGCGCTTGAAACCGCCATGACCAAAACTTTCCTCCATGTCGATGCTCCGCAGTATATAAGCCGGGTCGCGTCCCCTCTCTCCTTTCACCAACCCAAGCAAGCAAGCAAGCAAGCAAAGGCAATCGATTGATTGAAGCAAACTCAATACAGCGTGCGTGCAAGAAAGCATCGGCCACCGGAGCAGCTGCAGGAATCATCCCCGTCTCCAACCGATCGAGTATGGACAAGGTGCTGGCCTTCTCCATCCTGAGCGCGTCGCCGGCCGACATCGCCCCCGACGCCGGCTGGGCTCGGTTCTCCTGGCAGGGGAGGAAGCTGCGGGACGACGGCCAGGCCAGAGCAGGGCAAGAGGGGAAGCAGGGCGGTCCGCCGGCGGGGGCGGAGCAGCAGCCGGACAAGGGGAAATCGCCGGCGTTGCGGCCGCGGTTTGCGCCGGAGTTCGACGGGATCGACTGCTTCGAGACCATCGTGTGCCACTGATGAGCGAGCGAATCACGAGCTGCTCGTGGTCTGGCCGCGCGCGTGTGTGAGACCAATTCTTTCTTGGTCTGATCACCGTATGATCGGCGTGTTCATTTTGGTTGTTAACTCCTGCTTCTGACTGAAGCCGCGTGTTGCACAGAGTACAGAGAAAGAAAGAAACCCATTTCGCCGTGATTATTTGGATAAGCTTGCTGCTTTGTTTTTGTTTTTGTTTTTGGTTTTAAGGCTAGAGACGTCATGACGGAGCAGAGATGCTCAGTCAAATAATCCGAAAAGTGGTGGACACGTGTGAACTACAACCTGCTACACCACCCAACAACCAGCACACGCGTCACGTAGAGGGCTTGCTGTGGTACACCTGCAGCTCGGCCCCGCATGGCAGTGAGTTCAAAGCGGCAAATAGCCTCACGAAAAACTTAGGGCGGAAAAACTTAGGGCGGAAATACGACTTTCTTGTCAACCCCTAACCTAAGACAGCTAGGGCAAACTTTTCTCCTCAGACATCACCGGCGAGTCCGTGGATTCGCCTTCCCGCTACCTGCAACTCCGACGGCCGGTGGCGGGGAGGGGAATTCTGGTGCCACCGCCTCGGTTATTAGTTTATATTACAGTTTATTAGTGCTTGCAGGTGCGGCACTCGGGCAGATGGTGGTGTTTTTTCTGCGAGTTTGTCTTTCGAGCTTTGATCCCCCTCGAGTTCGTCCGTTTGAAAGTAGTCGATGGAGTTTCGGCATAGATTCTTGTTATGTTATTGAGGCGATAAGGTTAGGGTTTGTCTTCGTGTACTTGGTGTCAAGTGTTTTAGATCCAGGCGACGACTGCGGCTCCAGAGTGTTAGTTCTTAGGGGGACGTGCACAAAGACTTTTCTACTGTCATAAATAAGGTCAAACTGGCTCCGATAGAGCAACAACAGCGACGTGTCGGCAGGTTTTTCTGACTGTAGTAGTAGTCGTTCAGTGGTCTTGAAATCTTGATGTAAGTTTTATCATGTTCGAAATGCTGCTGTACTTACCGTGAACTTTTATAATTGATCTGACCCTTTTCTGAAATAAAAATAATACCTTGAAAATCTTATTCCATGCGTTCAGGTTGTTCCTTTATAAGAAGACGCCGGTGTTGCTGGACCTAACGAGCTCGCTAAGTACTCCCTCGTGTTCTTTTTACTCTCTGCATATTAGATTTGTTTAAAGTCAACCTCATCCAACTTTGATTAAATTTATATAAAAAATTATTAACATTCACATAACAACACATTTATTATTAGATCCATCTCGGAATATATTTTCATATTATATTTATTACATGTTATAGATGTTAATATTTTTTAATATAAATTTGGTCAAACTTAGCAAACTTTGACTTCAGTCAAAACTAATGTGCGGAGTAAAAAGGACCGGAGGGAGCCGCCGATCCCGGAGGCCAAACAAGCGGTGAACTGATTGCCGCTCGTCTTCCGTGAAGGTGACGGATCAGATCGACGGTGACGGATCAGATCGACCACGTGTCTTCTGCGAACGGTTACAGTGCTGTCTAACAGATCGGCCAAACGATGACAAGCTACTTGATTTGTTTGTTCCATGTCTGGAGTGGAGAGATACTGTGCTCGCTTTTTAATTCTGTAATCGTGCTTGCTTTGCTTATTCTATCGACATTAAGCTATATGTTTAGTATGGAGCATGCAGCTACGCTCAAGACCAAAATCTCGATCTGCTTGATTCCAACAGCGCATCAGCGCACTGTGATTATGCTAAGTCGGGGTCCTTATCCACAATTCTACATGCAAATGGACAAGGTTCTGTCGTAGCAGGTCTAAACAATATGTATTATAATACAAAAAATATTCTTATATTATGGGACGGAGGGAAGCCAGGATTCAAAAGTCCGATTTCATTGAGCAATGATAGACTGGAAGAAAGTCTTTGTGAGTACGCGTTTTGTAGGACCGGCCACGAGATGGCGTGGTGGCGCCCCTCCCTTTGGTGTGGTCGTCCAAGCATTCCTCCTCGCCAGCAAGGTGGTGGTTCGTCCGTTTGTGGGCTGTCATGGGGGCTGTTAATGTGGCCTGCCTTTTCTCGAGGTTTGGCAGGGTGGTTGTGGGCGGCTTTGCACGAAAGCTGAAGCCTTTGACGGTGTTTGATGTCGGCGGCGGCAGCCCACACGTGTGCCTCCAAGAGCTCGCTAACTTCTCTTCGGTCTGTGGGCTTGTTGGTAGTGGAATTCTGGTTTGCCGGCGGCAACATAATTGTGCTTTTTTTTGTACGATCGTCCCTTAAGCAATCGTGTGGTTCATTTTTTTTTACGTTTGTTCCTTAATCAATCATACGATGCGTGGGTTTTGGCCTATTTTCCCTTATAAACCAGGCCACACATTCTTGTTTTTCTATCTTATTAATAAAATCGACAGAGCTCCTGCCATGCACTTCAAAAAACACGCACACAGAAAAAGATATCCGTTGTTTTTGCTAGTTATTCTTCCTTGTTTAATGCTTTTTAACTGTTATGTGCATGAACGCATTTGTAACTTGAAGTTCTTGATTAATTATGTATATCAAAATTTCGGAAACACATATTTTATCTTCAGTCTAAGCTTGGCAAACAACATATTTCCTGTTTAATTTGCTACATGGTATTTTTTATTTATTTTTATTATTAGACTACGACGGTAGTTCCTTTGTTCAATTCCCGTGAGTTATATTCTAGCTCAATGCAATAGTCATCTAACTCAGCTCCCTTTCTCATAAAGTATGGCACCATTTTCTATGATTGATCTAATGTTCAGATTCAGATACTACTTTTTTTTTTTGGTTCGGTTAGGTGATTAATTTCTATACACCCTAGGCAACTCTGGAAAGTTAAACTACATGAGAAAAATCTTCTGTTCTACAGACTTTTCTTGTATAGTCTATAGACTTGGTCAAACTTTAAAAAGTTTGACTTAAGGCAAAATTATAACAACAGTTAATTTGAAACGGAGAGAGAGTACGTGATCTTTTATAAAAAAGAAAAGTATGTTTTTGGTCCTTCAAGTTCCCAAAAAGTATAGACTTGGTCCCTCAAGATTTTTTGGTATACATTTGGTCCCTCAAGTCTCAAAGCCGGACAAGTTTGATCCTAAACCAGATTTTGACCCCGTTGACCGGGTTTGACCGCCACAAAACCGCCGATGAATAGTAAATTCGAACAGGTAGGCTTTGGAGGACTGGATTGGTTTCAAGTCAGTTAGAAGGTATATGGGTACACGGTTTAGAGAAGTTACACGAGTTTTTGTTTTGAGGAAACCAAAGCAAAAAATCAAGTGCAAATTTTCCAATTTACAAATGTTTAAATTCTACATATTCCCACAATTTGACCAGAAATGAGTACCGCCAGCAAGCGGTTGTGATTGTAAGATTAAAGGACAACATTGGCACTTCATATAATCTAGAATTATCGAATTAGTTACACATAAATTTAATAGACTTGTACTTTACAAAACTCTGCCAGATTCAAAGACTCCAAAGCACTTTACCAATTGTTCTTTGGATATTTAAGGATTCTACAGAAATGATACATATAATACACGCACATATTCTTTCGCAAAAAACCATGTACATATTATATTGTAGAGTAATGTGGTAATGTTAATTTTCTTATATTTTTTATGGAAAAGCTATTGTAACAAGAGATTTTTCCAGGCTTTCCATACTAAAAAAAATCCTTTTTATGCAATACATTTTATTTCATTGGCCCTAGAGAATGCATTTTCAATTATAAATATTGGAACAACATGACAAATGTGTACCTTAATATAAGTAACTGTGTTAAATTTGTGACTTCGCTAGTTATACCAAAAAATATTATTAAAGACAGTATATCAAAGGTTGTATTCTGAATTTTCATCACATCATTATTAAACAAAGTAAAAAAATTGGCATAAATTAATTAGCTTGCAAAATTTTCATGACATTGTTATTTGGATCTGCCACCAACCAGTGCAGAGACCTCACCTATGAGCTCAACGAGAACGAGTTCGCCGATCTCGACCAGGAGGAGTTCCTGGCCAGGTACGCGTTGTCCTAAGACGACGTCGGTGATGGTACGGACATCACGGTGCCCGCAAGCAGCAGTGACGTCAAATTGTGGCCGTTGGCATCGACGACGATAACATCTTGAAGGCTCCGCCTCCGCCCAATATGGAATGCAGAGCCAAGGTTGCTGTCACACCGGTTAAGTCCAAAACCTTATTCATTTCAACCATACCTTGTAAAGCATTCACAGTGGGTTTTTGCATGGTAATATGTGTCTCATTTATATCATAAAGATCAAAGTACAAATCACGTCAGGACTGACATGACAAAACTGAAAAGATAGGAGAACATCTCTGAGCTTGACACCAACGCCCGTCACCTGCCTCCAGCACCACAACAGCAACCACCGAAGAAAGGAATGGTGGATCACCTCCTCACCGTAGCTCGATGCGGCTCCATCGTTGATATGCAGCTTTGCGGATCTCTAAGGTGGCTCAACAAAAGTGAAAACCTTACCGTTGAACGAATCAGACCGGGGCAACACCCCGGACACGCCATCGAACTCCAGATCTGGCACCCCACCACAACTAAGACGCCGCAGGAGGAAACCATACCTGCAATCCACGAACCACGAATCCAGCATCCGCTCATGGACTACCTCCTAAGCTCCGTGTCGACGCTGGAGCAAACATCGTCGCAACGGCGGAGCACGAGGACACAAGTCCACCACGAGGATGCCGCCGCCGCCACGCCATCATTGCTTGAATAGACTGGTTTCCAAATCCATCCCCAACCATAGGACCGATGGCCTCGTTAAGGAAGGATCTGAAGAATATTTATTCAGCGCCTTCATCGTCGTCGTCGAAGCAAAGACGATGAACAACCTAAGAACCTAGATTACGAGGGAGTAAAAATGATCCACACGACCCCCTCACCATCGACGACCGAGGTTGCCGGCGAGGGGAGTCGCTGTAGGACGGCGCTGGAAG